TTTTGAAGTTGGGCTTTCGAAAGATGCGCTATCTCCAACTTAAGGCTACTGAACAACTGAGCCTTCGAAAACTGACAGCAAAGGCTGAATAATGACATACTAAAGATTGAAATATGACCGGTCGATCAATGACTTATGACACTATGTGTCGTCACTCGTGAAGGAGCATGTTGGAGAATAGATTCTCTTCTCACATCGCCATATGACAAAATACAACCCAACTTATATATAGGATATTCCAATGCTATTATCATGCAGATTTTTTATAATAAAACCCTACACCTAACGATAGGTGGTTAGATGGAGACGATAGCATTGATGTTGATGGTGGACCTTCATGAGGCTACAAAGTTTATCAAGATGCCATTTGATTGGAGATTATATATGTTCAATTTAGGCTAATATCGGCCAAATGCCATTGATTGGTGATGGCCGAATGTGACTTCTATATATCTCGATTGAAATGCTCTAATGGAAAGAATTGTTTAGGGGCAATAGTCCTTGAACTCAACCAAGCATTATAAAGAAATGTGGTATCACCATCTACACCATAACAAAAACACCATTTTTCGAAAGTGTGTATTTTTACAGCAAGGTTGATGATTTCAGCTAAGATCCTAAATTTTTTGTATTAGTGTGCAAACATAGTACATTAATCGCAATAGAAACGGCGAAAGAAGCCATTAAGAATCAAAATTTGAATAATACAACTGTTTAGTGCAATAAAAGGAGGTAATTTAACCGGTCCAAAAATTTTCCACTTTGAACCTCTGCTAAACGCAAAACGCCCGCCAGCAAGGAGAAAACTTGATATTTTAGTTTAGTTTCTCGGCTTTACCCCTTCCACGACCACGCCAGCCTCCTCTTCCACCACTGCCACCACCCCTGCCGCCCTTGCCACCTAAGGCTTTATTCGCATCAGCGTTTGCTTTCATGTTCTCAGGCAAGGGAAGTATCTGATCCACACACTTCCTGAAGCTAAAATCATCAACAACTTCATCTTCCCTAATGAGGAAGAAGCACCTACTTTTATACAACGGATGGATCCGAACTTGGAATGCCTTGACCCCTCCACCAATCTTCTTATCGGGCTCGGCATGACCCTTCTTAAGCAAGTCGAGCAAAACCAGATGCTCATACTGCAATATAACAAGAATTTCAATAAAAAAACTTCATCCAATAAACCTAGATACAATGCAAGGCAGCGAAGCAATCTCAAAATCAAAGCACTATATGCCACAATCACAACCATTTTACACAGATCTTACAAAATTCATCATTTTTTAGTTGAAAATTCTAAAGCTGACCTCATTGTGTAAATATAATTCAACTCTGTGAACTAAAATCCAGAGTTATGTGAACAGATTCTAGCTTCATGTAGCAAAAGACCAAGGCAGTGAATTTGAAATTTTGAATAAAGAACTACCATCATCGAGCTTCCTACCAAATTCGAAGAGAATTCACATTCACACAAACTATATCGTCAAACACATGAATGAATAATACTCACTCAAATTCGAAACATAACATTCAACTCGAAACCAATATTTTCCGTAGCCAGGTGACTTTTGCACTCTTATTTTCTTCCCCTCCCCTCGATCTTTCTAGCAATCAGATTGAATAAATCAAACGTAACAACTCCAAATTCACTGATTAAAACAAAAACCTATTTGTAATACCGCATTAGCATATGTAGCCGAATCCTAACTAAAATTTATTTCATAAAACTATGTAATACCCAAATCCTCAGTCGTTGATCATCCAAACGAAGGAAAGCAAACAACCCAAAACTAAATTTCCCAAATCCTAATTAATCTCGATTACAAAACACCAAATTGAATAAATAATACATTATATTGCTATACACTAACAAAAAGTTCCAATCTTTAACTTTCAGCAAAAGAAAAATAGGGCTGAAAAGATTAAGAATAATCAAATAGCTTTGTTTTGGGTACCTTATTGACATTGAGATCAGTAGGCCAGTAATGGAGGAATTTGTAGAAGTAATCGAACATCTCCACCGAAGACCCAAAACTCTTCGGACCCAAGCTGACCCGACCCGAGTTCTCCCCTTCCCCTAACTTCTCCTCCAACCGTTCTTCCTCCGGCGACTTCTCCACCTTCGTCTTCTTAGCATCGTTTCCTTCACTCCCCTCCTCGTCCCTGACCCGCTTCGAGTTTGCCTCCACCTCCCCATTAATGGCTTCAATCTCATCGGAATTTTGAGCGGCAGCAGGCTCTGAAGCTTCTAGGTCCATGTGTTTAGCGCCTTCAGCGGTAGCAGCGGCGGTGGCCTCCGAGGTTTCGGCGAGTTTCTCTACCATCTTTGCGATTGTGATTCTGTGTGAAGCCAAAACCTAGGATTTTATGTTGCTTATATATGAGAATATAGTATGTTGCTTATATACGAGAATATAGTACGGTACTTTAACGAAAAACTCTTAATAATATTCATTTTAATGAAAAATTATATTTTTATATTAAAAAAATAATCATGATATTATTTATTTTATTTTTTTCTTATTATTAAAACCTAAAATTTTCAAATTATTTTCATTAATTTTTCTATAACATAAGTCACCTCCTCTTTTGAGGTGGAATACATCTTCTGTCAAGTAACCCCCCCCGGGTCATGATTTTTCCTTTTTTTTTTCTTTTGTGAAAAATCATGATCCACCCATGAAATTTGAAAATATTCACATATAGATGTAACTCCATATTAAAACCTAAAAAAGTTCTTCTAGGTCATAGAATTAAGACACATTTGAAGTACTTTTAAACGACTAAAAGCATTTTTAGAAAAAATACACATTTGAAGTACTTTTAAACGACTAAAAGTATTTTTAAAGAAAATATTTTTGGGTTGAAAGGCACTTGAACTGTTTGTGCAAGAAACACCAGTTATACGCTTTTTGCATGAAGTATTTCAAGTGATTTTTGAAGATTCACTTGCATTGTTACTAAAGATTGGTATAAAAACATTTTCATTAAAAACATTTTTAATCATTTCAAAAACACTTCCAAATGTGCTCTTACTTTTTAGAGAGGCACATATCATTTTGGAGAAGCACATGTGAGGTGTTTCATGAAGAAACACTTCCAAGTGATGAACTTGAACTTGTACCAAAAATTCCGATTTGTTTGTAACAATAGCATTTCTAAGAGAAATAAAAACTTATGAGCAAAAATGTTTTTGTTTTTAAAGTAGTTTGAAACGAGTCCAAACAATTATCATCGTTATCATCAATACTGTCACCATCATCAACAAGAAAAGCCTAAGGCTTGTTTGATATTTTTTTTAATGTTTGTTTAGTGTGACTCCATTTTATTTAAAATTTCATACCAGCTTTTTTGTGCAAAACTTTCTAAATAATATCGTGTCAAGATTCTCTAAATAATATTCCGGTATATCTTTCATTGGAATTCTTGGTTTTGACCAAAGAAAAATCTTATTGGCACATGAAATGACAAAAATGAGTTAAGTATTCACAAAAATTTGCACACTTGTTTCAACAAAGGTAAAAAGTCAAGTTATGACGTTATCCGGTGTTTCTAGGAGAGTTAACTCCTATGTTCACTAATCACCACGAGGTGGCCTAGTAATTGAGAATATATTTTAGATTCATATTTTATATAACACATTCTGAGTTCAACTTTTGGTATTAGTGAATGGCACGATAGTGGACGGAAAAAGTTGAAATGTACCTGTAAATTTTCTAACATCTGAAAAAATAGATTATCTTAACGAAACTGCTAGCTGATTTCTTTACAACAACAAAAAAAAAAACTCATATATTCATAAATTCAACTCATATGTACATGAACCGATCAATGGGGTTCCACTTGTATTTCAAATATTCAATTTCGCAAGTCATCATGAAAAATTCAAAATTGCTTTATCATTTTTATTAAAAAGAAGAAGGAATCCTAATTCGAGACTTAGGCACAATGATGAATGCTTTTTTTGTTTTTTGGGTAACAACAAGTTTAAGGGAAGATTGATTATTCTCATTACTAGCTTTAGGTCATACCATAATTTTGAGCTGAAAGAACTTATGCGTGTCACCTAATTATTAGCTGCTACCATATGAATTTATGTAAAAAATTACAAATCCCGCAACATGATTGCCGACAATGATGAAAGTTTAAGAGCTCTTTTGGATGTATTTTTAAAATAACTGAAAGTGTTTTTGGTGAAAATGTTTTTGGAACTAATTCTTTGTAAAAATACAAGTAAATCCTGGAAAAGCACTTAAAGTGCTTCCCGGAAGAAGCACATATTGGTGTTTCTTACAGAAAGCACTTTAAATGCTTTTGAAACCCAAAAACATTTTTTCTAAAAGAGTTTTCAACATTTTAAAAGTATATCCAAACAAGCCCTAACTCAACCACAATTCTCTTACTTTATAATTGTTATTGTATAAAATATTGCAAAAAATAATTCCCTTTTAGGTTAGAAATGATTACTTGTTATATGGGTTTAAAAATATGAAATTTTAACGAAAAACTCATGTTACTGTTCACATTAACGAAAAACTATATAAGAAGTCAATTTTGATACTATTCACACCTTTTATTTTGTTCTTATCGTTAAAACTCAAAGTTTTCAAGCCATTTTCATTATTTTTACTTTAAAAATAATCTGCCTAACAAAATTGAATATATGATTAAAAAAGAAGTTTGACAAAAAAAATTAAAAGAAGAAAATTATCCAACAAAAAAAGAAAACAACAGAAAAAAAAAAAAAAAAACAAAACAAAACTCGTTTATATTTCCTTTCATGACATGGCATTGTCCTATTCGTTTACTATTAAAACAAGCGCTAAATCCGCGGACCCGCCAGCAGGGGAAGGAACGAAGTACAGCTGGACCTTCCAAGTCACAATCTTGTCTAACTCAACGGCACCGATTTACCTAAAACCCTCCATTTGGTACGGAACCCACAGAGGATTGTACCCTTGCTTTGGATGGACGTTACCATCCCCAGGCTCCTCGAACCCAAACCTGATGCCTTGGAAATTAAATTAAATTAAATTTTAATTTTTTGTCTCTCGTGGAAAAGGAAAAGGTTAAAAGCCAGAGACTTTTTCACAACAGAGGAATTTCTCAGCGTTTCCACAGCTCAAATTCCGGGTCTTGTCAGAGGTGCTTTCGAATTTCGATTCTCATTTTTCCCCCACTTTGTTTAAATTTCTTGTAAGTTCCTTTTTCTGAATTTTCAGAGTGTATTTTTTTTGTAGATTTTGCATTTTTCGGTGTTGGGGATCATAAAGTTGTTGCATTTCGATCTGGGTTGTGATTTTTTGCATCGGCGATTGGATCGAATCGGTGAGTTTTGTGAAATTCGAGTGGCGATTTAGTGTATTGGGTTTGGGAAGTTTGGGGATTTTGGTGGGTTAGGGATTCGGCAAGTGGGGGGCTTCTTGTTTGGTATCTGAGAAAGCAGGTGATTCTTTTTTCTTGGCTTTCTTATTGCCTAGGTTATAGTTGGAATATTAGATGGGGCCAATGGAGCACTGATCGTGCTGTATCGGTTTATTAGTATACAATGTTAGATTCTTTTGATTTGCTTTGCTTTTTGTTTGGCCTTTTATGTTATATTCTTCTTAGCATCCGAACATGCGGCTGAAAGCATTCGAATGCAGGGTAGTTTGGGAAAGTTATAAGCTTTAACGTTTGGTTTTCTGCCTTTTTGTTTTAAAGGTGGTTTAAGATCCAATTCCTTAAATATTTCTTCACATGCAGGTTTTTTTTTTTTTTTTTCTGTGATCAATGGAACCCATCATCGTGATTTTCTACATACCTAACTTTCAATGTGGTGGATCTTATTGTATTCTTAAGGAGATTGTATTGAAATGATTGAAGTTTCTCTCTGTGTTGTGGATGCAGGAGTTTTAATTTGAGTGCGAATGGGTGATCACCTGGTGTTGTGTGTTGACCGCTTCACAAAAACTGAAAGCTTGCAAGGGAGTGAGACCCCAGGATCTTCTGTAGAGGGTTCAAGCTCCCAATCTGCTGAGCTACCCACTTGTGCCATTGATGTTAAGGGGGTCGGGGAGAAGGCTATAGCTGAAGAAGAAGAAGAGCCTCTGATTCAGACGGTTGAATGTCGCATTTGCCAGGAAGAAGATAGCGTTAAAAATTTGGAGGTCCCCTGTTCTTGCAGCGGTAGCTTAAAAGTATGTTGATTTATTGATACATATCCTTTTTTAAAAACTAGAATTTTGGATTTTTTTGGGGGGCTATGGGTGAGGGGAATCACTCTCTTGATTCCATTGACCCCAAATACTTAAATGCGTCAAGATTTATGATAGAGAAATACTTGAAGTAGGTTACTCTTGAGTGTTAAATTGGATTGTTGTTAGTGCTGTCCAGAAATTCTTTTCTACCGCAGTTAGTGTCAGCTATATGCCCAAATCAGTTTGTGGCATGAAGCCCTACCATTAAATGTTTTGGTGATCCCTTTTGTTTATGGTTTGACCATATGGAGAGATCTTAGCTCTATATGAAGTTTTTATCGCAAACTAGTTGTTTTAACGTCCGAATCATGCTCATTGTCTTATGTTTGTTAACCAACTTCAGTGACTTCTTAGACTAATATTATATGTTGATAACCAATGCCAGTGATTTCTTTCTTTCGTTTCTCCATTCAGTTCGCTCATAGGAAATGTGTCCAGCGATGGTGCAATGAGAAGGGAGATATAATTTGTGAAATTTGTCATCAGGTAAATTTCTAGAATCCTTACCATCTGCAATTGTAATTTTTTATGATTTTAAGTAGAGAATCTGTTCCGTTCAGTTCTATGTTCGAGATTTATACTTTTCAGGGATGTTGCTTATGTTCATATAAGTAAGCAACTTCACTTAGTTTGAAGCTATCTTAGTCAATAGTCTTGCCTTTTCTTTTCTGGAAAGGATGAAATATGATGTTGTATTATGAGAAGATATTTGGTTTTTATCAATAAACCACGATGATGCATCTGTGTAATATATTAAAGTCATGTGAGCATTTGCTGGTAACCTCTTGGTCATTAAAATTGGTTATTATGAATTTTTTCCATTCATGAGTTGCAAGTCATTGAGTGGGTTTTTACGAAAAGTTTCTCTGATGTAGTCATACCAACCTGATTATACTGCCCCACCACCTCCTCCTCAGTCTGAAGATACCACAATTGACATCAGGCAAGTTTAGAATTTACATATACTTTGCAACCTTGTTCATGTTGTAAGGATTTTTTATTCCGTTTTATCTTTCGTTTTTGCAAATTAGCATTTGGCTAGATGTGATGAGGACTTTGCTTGTTTTTATATCTTGGGCACTTTAGCTTTGCCTGTCTCTCTGCATTACCATTTTCTTGAGGTCAATACAACATACAGCTTTATCTAAGACTCGTATCTGTTTGGATTTGTTGTTTTGCTTCTTGGATCCGTCTGACAGTGATGGTTGGACAATCTCTGGTACCCCTTTGGATTTGCGTGATCCTCGACTATTAGCAATGGCAGCGGCTGAACGTCACTTACTAGAGGCCGAATATGATGAGTATTCTGACACAAATGCTAGTGGAGCAGCCTTTTGCCGCTCTGTTGCTCTAATTGTAAGCCATAGTTGTCGCCATTAATGATGTGTGGTTCTTTATAGCCCATGTTGGAATGAAATATTGTCGTCGCATTTTCTTTCTGATTTTATTTTGTGGATCTTATCAGACGATGAGGATAACCTAGCTGAAGCTTTTGTCAGCTATAAAAAATATCCCTAATCTTTAACTTTTATATTTTCTTAGTGCACCTTTTCTCTATGGTCATTCTGAACTAGTGTAACTAGTTGCAGGTTCTGTTCTGGGCCCTGCAACTTGTTGCTATGCACATTCACAGTTTAAACCGCAGCACGTGCTCTACTCTCAGTTGAATAAGAGAATTTAATTTAATTTGTATTGGTCTCCTCTCTTGTTTCTCGGCAGTTAATGGCTCTTCTCCTCTTGAGGCATGCATTGACCCTCCCCAATGGTGACGGGGATGATGATGATGCATCCACTTTTTTTTCTGTAAGTGGCATAAGTATTTTGAATGTGTCTTATATCATTCCAGATCGTTGCACTATCTAACTAAATGATCAAATGTTAACAGCTTTTCATGCTCCGGGCTGCTGGTTTTCTTCTCCCGTGCTACATTATGGCTTGGGCCATCAGCATATTACAACGTCGAAGGCAAAGACAGGTAAGTTCTGCCCTCTGCTGTCTTTGAGAAACCCAAGAATAATCATTTTTTTTATATATCCTTGGTGAGATGAGATATTGTTTCTTAGATTGGTTACATAACGAAGCTTGAACGGGCTTTGGCATGCTTCCCACTGCACAAAAAGAAAGCAGGAATCATGTCTCCGGACAAAGAAGCTTTCTGGTCGTGAATGCAAATTTTAACATGTTCTTTTAATTACATGCTAATTTGTTTATATGTTACTGTTGTTCCAGGAAGCAGCAGCACTTGCAGCAACTGAGGTTGCATTTATGCTGCAGGCAGGGCAACGCAGGGGCTTGCAGTTCACAATAGCTCCAGGACCTGCAGTGACTCCCCATCAGGAGCCAATTCAATGATTTGGTGTTCTTCAACTATGGCAATGTTCTATTTCGGTGAAGAGGATTACGCTGGAACTGGAAATATGAGCGTGTTGTTTCTGTAGCATAAACAAGCGTTAAAGAGGAAAATCAGAAGGCTTTAGCTTTCTGACTGTTGTGTATCTGTAGTCGAATTATTTTACATACTATGTACAAGCTCACTACTTTCCTTCCTAATCTATTTCCCGTGTTTTGTACATAATCTTTGTTATCACCGCGGCAGTTATGCTGCACGGTATACTGCTGTTGAAAGAGGTGTGTTACTGATTGTAGTTGCAGCCATCTTTGGATGCGTTCTTTGGGCCAAACATGAACTTTACTTGCATTGCGTATCGGTATCCTGCTGTTATATAACCCGACTGCGCCAACGGCTAGTTCGCTTTGGTCTCGGCACCAAGGGAGGAAAGGCTCTAGTCGAAGCCAATCTGGTTGGAATATGATGATTTGGGATTTCAAGCTTTTAGATGCATCACACACCGTTGCTTTCTTGAAGTGTGATTGTTCAAGAAAACCATGTCATCTTCCGTTGTAGTTGTTAAAAGTAAAATGTGATGGTGAAGGATGATTGTGGAAAGCAAACGTTCCATTCAAATTCTTTTACTTTAATACAGCTCTCAAAGCTCATGTCCTGCTTGGACCATGACCAGTCCACCTCCTCATCGATTTTGTACTCGAACGGAGACTCCTTTTCAATATTGTTCTTTCCATTTCCAGTTCGAACTAATATTCTTAACTATTCAAATCTTCGAAAAAAAGGAAATTCAAACTGGGTTTTAAAGGATAGAAAACACTGCTTTGATTAGCTGACTTAACCCACGCCTACAACGAGAAATGAAGATGGTTTTCATAGATAAGCGATTTAAAGAGAGGGTAAAGAAAAAGCATAAAGGACCTCCATTCAGCACAAGACACCAAGACTGGGATTTCTTGGTGCATGGAGGGAAGAGCTTGGAATTCTAAAGCAAGTTGTTAGCTTAAAGCAAGTGGTTGGTGCATCAAGCTTTGCTATTGGTTGGTTTATTTGGTTATTTGTTTTTGGCTTTTTGGTGGATGGATTTCTAGTCCCTACCATTACTCCAACATTTCTACTTATGGTTGGTTTTTTTGCTGCATTAGTTATCTAAATATATCTAAATATGGAACTGGCTGCTGTATTGGTGAGGTGTGTTTAAGATTTTTAGGCAGGGTGGGATATGGGACCAGATGAGATCAAAATACAATAGAAATTTCGATGTGATTGTTTTATTAAAGCATTTAGACACGGATGGATCAATGTGGGTCAGGTGGAACCATTCTATACTTTTGTGTGAGAGGTGTCTTACAGATGACGTGATAAGATGTCTCTACCCAAAATTTTCTCCTAAAATACAGAGAATTTTGTTCTTTTGTGATGTTGGTGATCATCCACGTGATCAGGCGGCTCGACTGAAGATTTGAAGAGATGAGGAGCCCATAAGAACTCTACACATAAGCATTGGGTAGATGAGGTGGCATGTTGGAAAAGCATTCAAGAGGCACAAAACTGGTCTTTGGTTTGGTAAAAAAGAGCAAGGCAAATGATAGAGAGAAAGATACTTGGCTTCCCAAGGATAGTGTTCCAACTTAACTTTTGATTCAAGCCTGTCAGAGTCTTCTAAAACAGCCTTATATATTGCTTCTGTGGCAGGCTGCTTATGATTGTGGTGAATCCAAATATTCCCCAAATGTTCTGCCTGCCCTTCTTCTGAGGGGCCTCCCTTTGTGCTTTATGCCCTTAGTCCTCCAAATCCCATAAAAGACATTCCCTTGCCTTCTTCTCACAGGGATTGAAACCATAACAAACACTACTCCTCAGTATCTTATCAAACACAGATAGCTTCAGAAGCATGGCGGTTTTGGCTTACAGAAGGGCTCTTCTTCTTCTTGTTTGCATTGGGTTTCTAGCTCTTCAACCCGAAAAGGTTTCCGCCTTAAGAAGCAGGGACTTGGCTCTCAGATGGGACAAAGGGCACTTGCCGTTTCTTAAAAGCTTGCATCTTTTTAAGGCTGTTGCTGTAGAGGACATGGAAGCTAAGATGAGTTTGGCACCTGCACCCGCGATGACATTCAATGCGAATCAATCAAACAAAAGAAAAGTTGGAAAAGGATCTGACCCCATTCACAACAGATGTTGACAACATGCTGATGCAGTTTGCTATGGGGAGAAGATACCGAAAACAGAGCATTGCAGGCAGAAGAAGAAGCTGGTGTGGCTGTAACTAATACAAAAATGTTTCAACGGGGTGGCGGGCATCCTCTTTTGTTTGAATTATATGTTTTCGTATGTTTTTTAGTCGAAAGTTTTTTTGTTGAGCTGAAGAAGTGCAGCTGAAACCCGATCATCGAGCTAGCATCATCTGTATTGTATAAACATAGGTCCTAACCAATAGATGAATACTTTGAGAGAATGATGATGCTAGCTCTCACAGATTACATGCATTTCTGATATTTCCCTACAAAAGAAAAGGACTTTTACACTTCTGTGTTGTGAATAGTTTTGCCTTTTCCAGTGTTGCTTTTTGGTTTTAGTTTCATCAAAACAGTCAAAATTTCGCGAATAGTAGCTGTAACGATAGAACTAATTCTTCGTTGAAAGATATTCACAAATGAATAATTGGATTGAAAATTACGTAACTACAACTAAATCAGTATCGATGTGTGCGAATATATACTGTCAAAAACAAAATTCCTTACATATCTGAAGTTCTCAACTTAGCCTGTACCTCCCTTGTACTCCACCTTCGGCAAATTTTTTATGCTTCCCCGGTGCAAGGTCAAGAGATCTTAAGTGATTTTGAACATTTGAAACGCTTTCAGATGGGTGAGTGTCATTTCGTTCTTATACCAGAAGTTGACCTGTCATATCTCTTCTTCCTGTGAAATTTAAACTGTCTGGAGTGAAATTTAAACTGTGTGGAGGATTTCTTATGAGAAACTGCCTGCCAAATCATATCAACTGCATCACCTGGCTGGGATGGATACTGATATCCGAAATGATGTACGACTTCCTTCAACCTTTCCCACATCTTGGTCCATGTTTCTTGATTCCTCGGAGAAGATTCAGTAGGTAACCCTTCTTACAAGCGTAAGATGAGCGAACAAATATGCAAAACTGTGAGTAGTCTAAGACATCTTCAAATGGTAGCTCAATCTCATCGCTAATTATTACAGGAACACAATGGCTAGCAATGGCATCAAATAGGCGATTTGAGGAAGGGGTATCACCAGCAAGATTCAGGCAAAACTTTGATGAGGCCATTCCTTGGCTTGCCTTGTTAATACCCTGTCCTTGAACGCTACCAAAAGTGAAGTTTACATCTTTCTCATCTTTAAGAAGATAAAACAATTTCTTCCGTACCATTCCTCCCTGGTTTAGTTTAAAGTAACAATACCATACGTAAGATATTAGCAATTATAAAACTGATTAGTGCTAAAACAATGTAGTGAATGATGTAAATGAAAGCAACCAGCTTGTGGGTAACATAAACAAAGAGCCAGAAGTAATGACAAAAGTGCTTCGGAAATCAGAATAGATGAAGTAGGGTCATGAAATAGATCACGTCAATCAAGATACAAACACTTTGTATGCTTCAATGGAATCAGGATGCATTGCCATACTATATAAAGTTAGCAATCCGTTGTGGAGACTGCCCTACACTGGGGAGTAGTTTATGCATTAAACTGCCATCATAATGACAGTAAACTATCTGCTCACCTATTTCAAGTTGTCACCGAGCTTTGAAAATATAAAGCTAATGAGACATTCCTATTAAGAATTTCCTAATTGCCAGATAATTCATTCTGAGATCAAACTCAGAGTAATATGAGCTCATCGAAACAAATTTTGTCATGTATTTAGCACCCTTATCATTCTATTTAAACCAAATACAACGTAATTAAAATGCTGTTTATGTCATGACAAGAGGTAAGTGAAGTAAAACATACATCTTTCCTGTATATTGCTCCTCGGAAATATAATAGTATAGGACGCTCGTTGAATGAGGGTGATTTGCTGCTTTGAACGGTCATTACCAAATGTCTGTAAGGAGCAATTATGTCCTTCTCAAGATTTGCTATTTCAGCCGAGTATCTTCCAAAATCCGCAAGCACAAACATGGCAGAGCCCAACTTCTTTCTTGCATCTAACATGCTATTTGGATGGTGAGCAACTAGTAAATGATCCTTCCCACCCTTTCTTTTCCATTCATCCCGACCCATCAAATACTGCACCAACTTGCCCTGCAACTTCTTGTTCACACTTACTTCCTCATTTCCACGAAGCTTAGAATGCCTGTTGTAACTCAGAGATGCAAAGAATGGGACAAAAATAACATCTGCTTGACTTGAATTGTGCACCCTGACTACCGTGCACGGTCTAACCACAGTTGGGATACTTGATGATAGAAGATCAAGGGTGAGCCAATATTCGATACTGTGCTGTAAATTCAGGCCACCTGGGTAAGCCGGAATGAGACTCAGGTTTTTGACATTTGGCCATGTTTGATTCTCCTTACCCTTCCAACCCAATAACCCAAAGTGAAACTCAGGAGGCAACTCATACATAAACACCCTCAAGAGAGCCTGCGTCGAGTCACAAGCAACCATTTTCTTTTTTTCTAAAAATCCCAACTTCTTGCTTGAATTGGAAACTTGACATCCCAATTCACATCTTTTTGTGGATCCTTTAGCATCAACTCGAGGAACCTCAGAAGAGAAGGAAGGAAGGTTTTTGTCCCTACTTTTTACGAGGGGCTCAAAGTATGTGCCATTAAGAACAACAAGCTTAAACACTGCGGGTGCAAAAGAAGTATTGCTAAACTGAAGTAGGAAGACAGAAAAAGAGATTAAAAGGAACACCGAAATCGTTATCAAGTAGAAAAAAAACTTCGATGGAATCCTACTCTTTTCCAACATTTATGAAATTTCAGGCAACCAAACTCTACTGAGTTTTGCAAATTGAACAAGATAACAACTGCAACTGCAAAAAAAACAAAAAAGGAATGCAATCAATGCTACTCTCCTAAAAACTCAATGCCTTTCGGTTCAGATTCTTAACAAAGCAGCTCAATTGCCACAAAAATCGCTAAAATCTCTAAAAACAACGACCATCAAGATTCAATTCATGGAAAATAAATCTCTATATTCTGTGAACTTACTACACATAAAACCTTGAATTTCTGGAAA